TACACTCTCGGCACACCACGTTGCCCTACACTACATTCCGAAAAACATAAGAGAGTAAAAAATAAGAGAGAAAGTAGAAAAAAGGAGAGTCCTCATTCTATCTCTTTACTTTCTCTCTCTAATTTTTTTAAAAAAATTGAATTTTTTTTTATAAAGAAATTTAATGAATTAGAAGAGTAAAAGAAAAAATAAAAAAATAATTTTAGAAACCACAATATTTAAATAGGGGCATTGTATAAAAAAATTTCATATATCATATATATGAAAAAATTTTATAAAATATCTTGAGATATTCCTAAGGAAGGAAAAATGTCTCCATCACTTTTTGTTTGGTTGGACGTAATGGATACTAAAAATGTTTTTTTTTCCCTTCTTCCCTTGAATTTAGTCTAATAATAAAATACAAATAAATGAGGGATGTTTCTTCTCTCCTTGTTTCCTCTCAATCTTCACTTTCTTCCAATTAAGCATGAATGAATTATTTTATACCTCCTCCCATTTATTCCTTCCCAATCCTTTTCTCCAATCAAACATACTATAAAATTGTGAGAGAGTAAAAAACGGAGAAGATAGAAAACAAAGAGAGAGAGAAAATCGCAATTGAGAGAGAAAACAAAGAAGAGAGAAGAGAGAGCCAAGGTTCAGAGGACAAAGAGAGCGAGAAAGTAAAAGTCGGATCTCTGTCTTGTAGGTTATGTTTAGACGGATTAGAGTGAGTACCTCTCTTAACCCGGTACGAATTAACTCGTTTATGAGTCAGATTTCTCAACAGTGCAAGTTTCACTGGAGGATAACCATTTTGGGACCAATATTTCACCTACGGTTGCAACTCGGGCGGGCCCAACCGAAATAACCCGAGCCTAGTCCAAAGTTTTATGGGCTTGGGTAATGTTTTTCTAATTTTGTTTGGGCATGGGCTATATACTTTGAGCCCAAATTCAATTCGGACTGGGCTTGGATTAATATGGATGAAGCCCGAAGCCCAACCAGAGCCCGAAAATATTATATATATTTATAATTACACTTAAGTCACAATAGTGTAGTAGTTAAGTGTAACGGGTGGGCGCTTGCCCATTTACCTAAAAGCTCGAACTGTTAGGTAAGGCTGCATACCCCCCCATTTATACCCAATCTCTTTCCCATCCGATTCCGATGTGGGACAAAATGACCCTTGTTACATTCTCCCCCACCCAAACTAGCAACACCCTCGTTGCGGTTGGTGGCGTTGTGGTTAGGCCACCCTGCCTACCCTGGTGGACTCACCCGGACGCCTTCCGGGCCGAGCGCTTGGCGTGGCACCGGATCAAGGACTGAACCTGACTCTGATACCAACTGTAACGGGTGGGCGCTTGCCCATTTACCCAAAAGTTCGAACTGTTAGGTAAGGCTGCATACCCACCCATTTATACCCAATCTCTTTCCCATCCGATTCCGATGTGGGACAAAATGACCCTTGTTACATTAAGTTAGTAGTGTGTTTGAGATTTATACTTAAGGTTTTAAGTTCAAGTCATGGATATAGTGTTAATTGATTTATTTTTTAGTGAGGGTTTGGACTGAAGATTTTTTATATGGGCCTAACCTGAGAGGAGTACCAAGCCCGCCCAACCCGCCTGAGTTTTCACCACTATTCATGGACTTTCTTAAAATTAGTTTTTATATATGTGAAATCAATTTAATTGAATTGTGCATCAACACATGGTGACACATACAAGGCTCACCAAATACCTACTCAAATTTGAAGGCCAAATGTCAAATATATGGAGAGTTATACATAAAAATACGTCAGTTTAGTGTTGTACAAAGGTTCCATCTTACATGAAATTCATGTTCAACACTTTCCATTTATCATTTACATTTATTGCAACAAAGGAGACATATGTAAATATAATGCATACTGAGGGGTGCTCACATGCAAAGTTCTGTCTAGATGATGTATTCAAGACAAGGACTTAGAAATATGTGAATGTCCAAATCAATTTTTCATTAATTTTTTATATTATTATTTTAACTCCAAATCTTTAAATTAATCATTAATTTAGCTGCTCCTATCAATCAACTGTTATATATCACCATTGATAATTTATGATCGGAAGCAAATTATCTCATTTTGGTTGAATAAGGAGGACTAACCAGAGTCAAGAATTATTGTAAAATTACACAAATATTCTTAAATAAGGAAAATAATTTTTGCACCAAATACAATTTTTATTTGGTCATTTATATAACAAATAAGGGAGTGAGGTTCTCCACATACTTGTATTTAGTATAAATAACTAATTAAAAATCATTTGATTTAATTGAAAATTTTGTTTTTTTATATCATTGAGTCGCATAAATCCAATTCTTTAACTAGGATAAGGCATGTTGAATTTCCCATGAATATAATTATATCACATATGCATGAGCTCTTTTATTTTGATGTACATATAAATATAAATAGATACTTGTTAATTTGGTAAAGCGTGAAAATATGCCAGGTTAATAGCTAGTGTGATACACAATTATTTAACACTTTTTACAGAAAGTAAGAACCAATTTTTGTCTTGGTTAATGGTTGATATTTTAAACCTACCTTGTAAAAACAAACTTGAGTTGTGGAAAACGAAATCTGATCAACTTAGTGACCGCGATATTTGTAAGTGCTCTCTACTTCTTGTCTTAAATCCGAATGTGTTTGACGTTAGGGTGTTATTTAAATAGATGGAGTAAGAAATTGGAAGACTTGAAAATGGTGTATGAAGGTGCCTTCTGTCATATTATACCACAAACTGCTAAGCCAAACAACTGTTATGAAGTGTGAAAGATTTAGAGTTTTGTAAAAATTATAATATTTTGGTGTATTCTATACTTGGGTTTAAAATGTAAATTTTTAAGTTTTTATTTAAGAGTATTCTAGATTTTTGACATAACCATCCCCTGTAAAGGAGTGATGGTTTCATTGTTTCACCAAGATTGGTAATAGTTCTGGAGAGAAAATGGTTTGGGGTCGTGGAATTTGAAAGAGTTGTTAAGAGGTTTTGTTACCCCATTCCTCCTGGAATGTTCATTGTTTAAAAAATGAATCACAATTCACAACATTTGTAAAAATCTAATTTTTTAATATAATATTACCTTTTTAAAATTATATTTTATTCTAGCATGATTCATATACAATTCAATTTGACAATTTTAGTTCAACTATAATTCATTTCTATAATATTACTTCAATTAAAAACATTTAAAGTATGTTTCTATATATATATATATACATATATATATGACGAATCGAATCCCAGTAAAATCGTTAAAGACAATTGAAACAAAAATATAAATATATATATATATATATATATATATATATATATATAAATCCACATAGTATAAATAAATAAATAAAGAATATAAAAATCCACATCTAAAGTATTAATACAAGGTTAGTTGCACATGCACTCAAAAAGGAAAAAATAAAAAAAAGGAATCAATGCATCGGTTTAAAGACAATTGAAAATAAAAAAAAAAATTGGGAAAAGAATGCATTTTACACACTCGAAAAGGGAAAAAGAAAAAGAAAAAAATAAAAGGAAAGAATGCATAATAGAGACCGAAAAAAAAAAAAAAAAAAAAAAAAAAAAAAAAAAAACAAAAACAAAACAAAACAGGAACAAGGCCACAAGAGAATGAAAGACAATTAAACAGTAAGGAATTATTGTCCTACAAAGTTGAATTTTTAATACTCAAAAAAAAAAAAAAAAAGTATTGAATTAATTACAAATATTGTGATTGATTTTTCAACTCATCACAATCACGATCGCAAGTGTGTCAAGAACGGATTCCACCATTATGTATACACCTTTTAGCATACCACTACTAGTTTTTTTCACTTTTTCGAGTGTTTAGTTGTGTTATGCAGGTAGGTCCCAAGAGTCATGAGATGATGACCACCACCACCCTCCATTCGTCTCGGATTGACAACCATTTTGATACCAATACTGCACCACCATTAATGGACTTTCATGTAGTAGGAGACCCACGAAGTTGGAAGAAGCCAGCGAAGAAAAGAAGGAAAAACTGAAAACAGTTTACTGTTATAAATGAGGGGCCAAATAGATTGAGAGTTTTTTGTTTTAGGTAAATTGTGATAATATATAAGAGCACTAATACAGTAAAAAAAATGACACTAAAAAGGAACACATCGAGAGGTCTATTATCCTAACACATAAAGTAAATGAAGAATGAAATGAAAAATTATCCTAACACAACAGAAGTAAATGAAGAATGAAATGAAAAAGCGAAGCATATTCAACTCTCAATCAGAGTGTGTTTGTTTTAGACTTTTTCCTAGGATGGGACTCGATAGAATTTTGCACACAAATTTCAATCCCATTAACTTCTGAAATGAAAAGTGAAGCATATTCAACGCTCAATCAAAATTTGAAACAACTCAGTTTGGCAAATCAAATTGAATTTATTTTTGTATAATTGATTAAAAAAGGAAAATTAGGAGCGACAGCCTCTTTTAAAAGCTTTAAGTTTTGAGCTACATTCCAATTTCCGAGGGTATTAGTGTCACAATTCAATTAGACCAACATCATCCTATCATACTTATTTACAATAAATTCAAAGAGGGAATATATTAAAATTTGTTGATTAATGTCCCAAAAATTCCAGGCCTCTCTAAGGAGGACAACACGTGCTAAAAAAATTCTTTGCATTGCCTTGAGATCCTAAAAGATGACATAATATGGAACTTATTTCAATCAAGTCCACATACATTGCATGATGTGTGACACAGCTCAGCCCATTTGGGAAGATTAGGACACAAAAAAACTGATGGCAAACTAGAATTTAGTTTCTGAAGTACAAGAAGCCACAGCAATTACTGGCTATGACTTCACCACCCCCATCTTCAATTAACTCACCTTAGAACAATGCTGACAACAAAGCCACACAAATACATGCATTCTTCCAAATAAATTGCCCTGTCTCATAAACTTGAACCAAATTGGAAGAGCAGAAAATATTTCAAACGAGACAGCAAAGTAAATTCATTTTTCTAAAGAAAAACTCATAAGATCCATAAATCAAAATTTAAAACCAAAGCTAAGATACTCTTCTACAGAATATAACCCATAACTGTAATAGCTCCGGCAAACAGAAAACTTAAGCGTCTTTTAGATCTGAATCAAAGGGGAAAGGTTTCATACAAAAAGTCAGTCGCCTAAACTTAGTCGAAGAGACTGAAACCCATATCCTGCAGCAAAACAGAAGGGCAGAAAAATTAATTACATAAAAAATGGAAGTAGAAACATTTTATATAAATAAACAATGCACATTGAATAGTGTTTCTAATAAGATAGGCCGCCACCTACAGTGGCAAGGGGGGTCTGTATCATCATCATACAATTCATGATAGGGTTAAAGAAAATATGCAAAATAGCATCCCCAAGCACGCCTATACTCACAACATAACTCGTTCGCACTAAAATTCAAAAGTGTATATAAATATTTAATTTTAATATGTATTCGAGATTGAGGAGGATTTATTATTTGCCAAATACAATAGTTGATCCCCTTTTTTCTCTATCCATTATAAAGACAGGCAACCATGTCAAATATAAGTGAACTGATATAATGCAAATAAGTGGATGACATAGGACACCACAGCCAAAACCAAAACAATGTGATAACTTGGAGCAAAGACTTACATCATCAGACTCCTCTTTCTCTTCCACCTTTTCCTCTTTCTTGGACTCAGCTGCGGCTGGAGCAGCAGCGCCGCCACCACCGCCAGCAGGTGCAGCCATAGCAACAGCGCCGCCACCAGAAGGAACTGATGCCAACTTTTCCCGGCCAGATGCAATCAGCTCTGTTATGTCCTTACCTTTAACTTCAGACAGAAGAAGCTTTATCATATCTTCATCAGCTTCAGCTCCAACTGTATGGAAGACCAAGATTTCACAATATTATAGTCCATCGCCAACGCTCCTTATATAGTAAATAATTGAAGATATATGGACACATCTAGATTTTAGGCTATCCAACACAAATGAGAATGTGCGTAAACAAAACATATATAATTCACCGATATTATTGTACTTTGATATCACTAATGTTCAACTAAAGTGTAAACAAGCTACGAATAAAGAAAGACAACACAAATGTGATTGATGTCTTTTGGGTGTCCAGGACTTGACATGTAAATTTGAACGATACAGATTCAGCCAAAATTAAAAACATGCAAGTCAAACATACATACAAAGTAATCATGCCGACCAGTGCAGCTGTGGCCATTTAAAAAATACATTAAACAAACCCAAACGCTAATTCAAACTATTAAAAGATAAGAAGCTCTACAATGAGAGATTATAAACAATTTGCATCATCCCACAATATACAAAGAATGCATGATGCGTGACTTATTACATAACATAAATTTTTTCCCTAGATCATTCCAGTAAATATTAGGTATAAACATATGCAACGAACCATTAAAATAGACCAGAAATCATACCAACCCAACATAAATTATAAATTCAGATCCTTACTACTCTCCACGATTTCCTTTCAAATTCACAAAAAAAATGGCAAATTGGTATTGATTTGCATTACAAGCCTCACATATAATACCATCAAAACTACACTACTGCATAAAAAGATAGTGATGCTGATTATGCAAAGTTGTACAACATAACCCAGAGTTCTATATTAACCCATTATATACAAGTAACCTTAAAAATCTGAGAATTATGACATAAATTTTAGAATGAAAAACTGACTAAATAGAATGCAATAAAAATATAAAAGCCCACCAAATCGCAAAACAAAATTGGTATTAAGCGCAAAACCACAATACTATGAAACCCATTAACCCGAGGGAAAAAAGCCCAAATTGTAAAGACAGACTAAATATAGAACAAACAGTCTATTAGACCTCCAACTATAGATCCAAATGTATATGTGTGTGTGTGTGTGTGTGTGTGTATATATCTGTGTGTGTATATATATATATATGGTGAGAGAGAGTACCAGAGCCGAGAATGTTCTTCAAATCATCGGCTGAAGGACAGGTGTTCCCACCCAACACAGCGAGCAAATATGCGGCGACAACCTTCATCTGTGCTCAGAATAACTAACAGAGTCAAAAACTGTTAGCGATAATATATGTGTAGAGCAAATATATATGTATATATATAGATGTGTGTGTATATTTGTCTGTGTGTAGAGGGGGAGAGAAAAGAGTACCTTGAGAACTCTGGATCTGCAGAAAGACAGGAGACGAATACAAACCAGAATGGAAGGAGGCCGAGAATGTAGTCAATATATAGCTAGGGTTTTGGTTCGATTAGGTTTCTTTCTTCCCGGGCGAGCAGAACAAATCCGGCCCGATCCGGGTCAATGAATCAAATCCAATCTATTACTCCACTACTAAAAGTATTTATTTTCTCATAAATAAGGAATAATGAACTCGTAATTATTTATAGTGCAAATTTCACGAAACTCTCAATACTATCACTTTTTTTTTATCAAATATCCCTAACTTACTTTATAAAACCCCCTAACATTATGAAAATTGATCACATTGCACCATATTTGTGAGAAAAGGACAAAAATACCCTTCTGATATACCAAATCAATTAAAAAAGCTAAAATAAGTTTTTTGCCAATTACTAAAATACCCTTGATGACATTTAAGTCACCAAAGCACGAAACGACCGCATTTTGTGTGTTGATGCGGACAGAGCAATATACAGAGAGAGAGAATAGTTTTAGATAGAAAAAGTGAAGGTTATGTGATGACTTCATCGGGCATGGAGGTGAAGAAGAGGAGCCAAGATTGATGGAGAATTGGCGGAGGCGGCAGCGTATGTGGGCTTTGGTGGTGTTGACGATGCACAGAGAGTAGCGGCAGAGGGCGGTGGTGAAAGTGACGTCAGAGGGCTGCGCCGGCGGTGAGGACGTCGTGATATATGTGGTGTGATGATGAAGTTGAGAACACCAACAGAGAGGCGGCAGAAAGCGACGTCAAAGGATTTTCGACGGCAGCAATCAAAGATGACGGGATGGGTCACGGTAGAGAGCGCGGAACAATGGTGAGCTCGGCTGTTAATGCAGCTGGTTCGGCCGTGGATGACTCGGCCTTGAATGGCTCCTGCTGACTGTGATCTGACCGGCAGTGGCGATTGTAGGGAGCTGGGCACGGTGATGGCTGTCATGATTGGGTCAGATGAAGGTCAATTTCGAAAACGGGTTTCAGTTCCGAAGCTTGGAGTACCACTCCACAGGGTTTAGCATTGCTAATTTTGATGGTAGGTGCAACGTAATCAGCGACGAGGACGGCTTGCGGCCATCCGGTATGTGGAGTTGCTGGTAGTTGGAGATAGAATGAGTGCCATCAAGAAGAGGCAGAGCCACTGCCTTTCGGCGCAAATTTACATCTAGAGATAAACCTCCAATCAACTACAGGCAACCAAAGCGACGCTAAACAAACCGACAATGATTGATCCGACATCGAGTATGTTGAAAGCAACGCCATTTGCTGTAGGAGGTACAGTTGCTGATTCTTCAGACAAAGACCCGTTGATTGAGGAAGGACTTCCTGTATCCAGAGACAACTCAAGAGGCAATCGTTTTGTGCTTTGGTGACTTAAATGTCACCAAGGGTATTTTAGTAATTGGTAAAATACCTATTTTGACTTTAAAAATTGATTTGGTATTTCAAAAAGGTAATTTCATCCTTTTATCATAGGTATGGTACAATGTGATCAGTTTTCATAGTGTTAGGAGTTTTATAAAGTAGGTTGAGGATATTTGATACAAAAAGTGATAGTAGTAAGGGTTTTGTAAAATTTGCCCTTATTTATATTACGGTACCTACATCAAGGGATAAGGACATTATTGTAGTTTTGAAAAATGTTTAATTTATTATTATTATAATTGTATTTTTATTTCTTTAACAATGGCAAGAAGCACTTTTAACACATTTGGTCGAATAAAATATTGAGTGCACCAGGTGTACACGGCATCGTATTATTTAAATCTTACGGACACCCCGATATTTTTATTTTGAAGGTAAAAAAGTGTCACTAATTTTTTAATTATGGTGAGGATTTGAAAATAAATTATTAAGAAAATATTAACTCAAGGAGGTTATAGATATTAAATATAATGATATATTATGCTTTGTTTTTGGTAGGATGGAGTAAAAAATAGATGCAACCGATGGAAGGAAAAAAAAAAAAAAAAAATTGAAAGAGGCATTCCTATCAACGAAAAGAATCTTTCACTTGGTTGAGTTAAAGCAAGACAGAAAAAAGATATATATATATATATATATATATATATTTGAAAATTACTACCAAATCTTATTTTTCTCTGTAAAAATAAATAAGTCCTAGAAAATTTCTTTCGGATCAATAAATCCTACTTCTGAATTTTTTTTCCATTGTACGAAAATCATCCATGTATACCCTTTTTCATAGAAGTAAAATTTTGTGATTATAAATTTATTCAAAATTTGATATATAATTTATTTTTTATATACATTCCTTTAAGTTTTTATTACTTGATTATATTGCATTTTAAGTTTAAATAATAATTAATTTAATTTAAAAACCCTTGTGTAGAATACATGATTTTAATACAAAAAATTGTTTATTTTATTAAGAAAATCAATAAAAATGTTTTTTTTTTTTCTTGTTATTCAAATTTTATGTCTTATTTTGTAAGTGTCTATTTGAAAATTTGATTTTATATCTAATTCAGTGAGAGAAAACCATAGTCAAGTTGATGATTCATTTCTTAAAAAGAAAATGTTTGGTGGTTGTTGTTTACGTATTATATAAACTAAAGAAATGTTAGGATCTAATGAATTTGTGCAAATGTTCCGAAAATAATTTCATCTGCATAACATTAAGCAAGTCAAAATAAAATTTAAATAATCTTTGAAATTGTATTTATTTTTGATAAGAAATTTATACACCCACTTTGCTCATTTAGAAACTTGAATCTTCACCATCTATTTTAAAAGATAGAGAATGTAGAAAAAATACCACTAAGACACAAAGCCCTTGTTATTTCAATTAATATATTCTAGGATGAATTTTGAATTGTCTTCTTGTATGTCAGGCCCGCCAAGTCTTTTGGCTTGTCACGCACGACCTAATTTTGAACCTTCTGGTTTGAAGGTGATGCTCAAACTCTTGTGGAAGCTTTGCACGTCGGTTCTAGGTGCCTTTCAAGCATTGCCTCATGAATTTATGATATTCACACTGACCTGAACCTCTTCTCATGGGTTAAGGTGTCTCATGTGCGGCGGCAAGGTAATCAAACAGCCCATGCCCTTGCATCGCTCTCTTCTTCGTGCTTGTGTGCTGATTCTGTAATCTCCCATCTTCCAGCGGAGGTACTTCAGTTGATGGAATTGGACTACCGTCCTATTTTCTATTAGTTTTCTTCTGTTTGCCAAGAAAAAATAATTTTGCAAGATCATGCCACGAGGGGTGACGCGGTCTGAAAAGGACTCTACATGACATTTGCTTTGCAAGTGTAATGAATTATAGTTTCCCAAAGTATTTAAAAGTTGTAAAGATAGTTATAATTGCATGTAGATAGATACTCTTCAAAATATTAACCTATAAAATAAAAATGAGACAGAGGTAAACATAAAAGTGAAATTTGAAATCAAAATGATTTGTAAGGGAGATTTGGACGAGACTGTTAAATTAGAAAATATATATATATATATATATATATATATATATATATATATTACAAAGCCCTGGTAAAGGTTAATTATGCCTTTATTTTTTAATGCGTTATAATAAAAAAATCAAATACCTCTTCTTTTCGTCCTCACTAGCTAAAGGTTATTTATGCCTTTATTTTTTAATGCATTATAATAAAAAAATCAAATACCTCTTCTTTTCGTCCTCACTAATCTTGCGCTCCAAGAATGTTAACCCGAACAAATAAATAATTAAAACAAACCTAAGAGCATTTTCGTCCTTAAAAATGTGTGAAAGGTCATTTATGCTTCATTTTTTAATGCTCCATGATAAAAAAAAATTTCTCCCTCCAACTTTCTCTGTACAAATCAACCCTCCCTTATACTCCACTTCAAACCTTACATGTAAGACCCGTGTAAAATACATATATATATATTTATATCATATATTTATTTACTTAATATAATTTAATGGTTATCTCTGTTTTAATTTAAATGGGTGATTGTGATAAAGTTTGTTAAATAATTTAAATTTAAAAAAAAAAACTAATTTATCTCACCAGACTCCTTATATCTCTATAACTCTCTAATACGTTTTATTTATATATATAAAAAAAGATATATTAGCACGATAACGGGAGAAGAAGGGACCAGAGAGAGTGATTTGACGTCGTGTTTTCCTGCAGTAGCCGGGGGAAAGGAACGGTAATCGGGAAGTCGCGTAGAAAGGAAGAATTATTTATACCAGGCAAGTTAATCTTGCATTGTACTCTTATATATATTTGGAACTTGCTTTTGATGAATTTTGTATGTTTTAATAAATAGTAGGAAAAATATATATATATATATACTTAATGATAGTTATGATTAGGATAATATAGTTGTATAGGTTGTTGTCTTGAATTTAATTGGACGAGAATTATTTATTACTAAAGATTAGATAAAAATTCAATTGTAGAAACTTTGGTTATTGGTTTTGTTAAATTTGTAAAGATTGGTTATGTTATTATTATTTTAGTAAATTGATATATAAGGTTACAAGTTACGATTTATTGATCTCATCCAAACAATCAGAATGATTATTAATATTTAGTTATTGTTATGAACTATTTGTCTGATGTAATCTATGAGATATGGTTGGAGGACTAGATCATAGAATTATAAATTGTGTATTATGTATATAAACTCTGGATCTATATATATACATATATACATGTATGTATAATTCTTGTAGGCATGTACATGAAAGCAAGCATCTTTATATGGATATATGTATATATGTTTAGATACGAACATATGAATTAGGAACTGAGCCATGTCTACTAGTTGGCAGTACTATTGTAACATGATTAGGATATTTATATGATTTAATATTAACCAAATTGAATACTCTTACTTTTTGGTCCTTCATACCTCTATATATATATAACTTGCGAAAATTGAGTTTAGAGACTTTGTCTGTCTGTGATTGATATATATATATATATATATAAAGTATTGCATTGTATACATGATTACTTTGGTTCATGTTAATCATGTAGCAGGACTGGGTAATGTGTGCATCAATGGCATATGTTTATACATATGTTTATTTGATATATTATACATGTGAGTTTAGTCCCTAATTACAGTGACTTGTACGCACGTGATGGCTAGATTGCAAGTTACTCTTCTGTTTTTTTTTTTCATATTTCGTTGATATTGAAAACAGATTGAAATAAAATACTATTTGATTAAAGGAAATAAAATAGAATACTATTTCTTTATATTTTATTATTATTCTTTTAAATTGATTTTTAAACTAAAGGAAATAAGGAAAAATAGTATTATTATTCTAAAAATATTGGGGTATGTCCAGAATTTGGTACTCTAAGTGGTTGGGTCATTAGAGTTCTGTTTTTAAATTAAAAGTGTATTTGGGTGCATTAACTATTAATTTGAATTATTAATTAATGATATCTCTCATAATTCACTATAATTAATAATGATGAGTTTGGATTAGTCGGAGGGCAGTCAGGGACTGACCCTACGATGACTCTTGGGTATGGTCAGGGACCTACCTATTTGGGAGTGCACTACCCTTTTGTTATGGCCATGGGTCTAATGAGCCCTTATTGTGTGGACGTGATTAGGGATCATCTGGGGAGTAGACGTACAATCCAGCCACACGTGTGTTTTTGGTAGTCAGGGACTATACGATTCACACCATTTTATTGGACGGGAGCCCGGGGCTCATGTGAGATATGCCGATTTATAAAAAAAAAATAAAAGATGGTTATTTATTAAGTTTATAACTAACTGGGTTATACACATTTGAATAATGAACTTAATTGAGTTGCTTATATATACAGGAATATAAGGTAAGGTTAATTTGCTGAACGATGATTGTGTTTAGCATTTATTGCTGAGCTTGTGAGCTCACCCCATTATCACATTTCAGGTACACGTTGAGTAGGAACGTGATGGGATTACGTGATGGGAACGGATTTTAGCTCGTTACGCATTGATTTATTTTAGCTCGGTTTTTCCTTTATTCTGATTATTGTAATAAAATTAATGTTTTATGAAACTTTATTGAGTTGATTCAGTGGTCATAGATGATTTGTTTTACTAGAGGGAATTGCACCTCTATTTATGGATTTGTATAAAATTTGTCAGACTCTCATGTTTGTTAAGTTGAATGACGGGATTCATTGTAGTTCTATTATGGAGGATGTATGTTGAGAATTGATGGAAGTTATACCTTAGATTTTTATGCAGGACAAGTAGTTCTTGTATTAAAATTTGGGGTGTGACATTACATTTATGGATTAAGTTCAAACCAGTCTTTAATTTTCCTTGTACTGCTTATGCAGGTCTCCATGGCTGCAAGAGACTAGTGGGAAGAAAAGCCATGAAATGATGTAAGCAAAAATTTCTCCCTCCAACTTTCTCTATACAAATCATCCCTTATTCTCTTTATATCATGTGAGTACTTTTCTCAAAATTCAATTTATTTTATTCAGTTTTCTATTTGAGATATACATTTATGTGGTGTTCGGAAGGACCAAATCAGTGTCATGAAATTAGAGTTGAAGAAAATTTCAAATTCAAAACACCGATCAAATGTAGCATTAGACAAATTGTTTACGATTGGGTAAAAGAAAATTTTTTAGTACTCAATTTAACAAATAAATTGATGTTTGGATTATACAAATATAGTCCAAGAATGTTTAAAAAAAAAATTCATAACAAAGCTTGCCTCTCAAAATAGAAGCGGAGGGCTCAAACTCATAACAAAGATTGCCTCTCAAAAATCATTGAAAAAAATAATCAAGAATATTGTGGCTAAACTGTCACAAAAATGGCAATTTCAGTGGCATTGCAAAGCATTACACTTGGGAGCTCGAGGTAAGTTGTCTTTTTATAGTTCACTCCTTTTATGCCCTCAACATCAGTAAAAATACCGATCCTTAGGTAACTTAGCTTGCTTGCTGCGGGGAATGAAATTGTCACTCGGGTTTCTATCGCCTCTTCAATGCTTCTTAAGTATTTTTCCTCGTTTATAGTTCAATCTCTCACTCTAAAAGAGGAAAAATAAATCTCTTTAGATGTTCTAGTATTTTTTTATCTTCTGCCTAATTTTCTGTATTTATCTTCTGCCGAAAATTGTTATTTTATATATATATATATATATATATATATATATATATATATATATATCTTCTGATATTCACTTCTTTTTCTTCTTTTTTTTCATTCTTTTCTTGTGTGGAACTAACCCAATGTCTTAACATTTTTTTTTCTTCCTTTTTTAACTCTAGGAATTTGGCAGATAATCAATTTCCTTACCAAAACAAATTAATAGTAAAGTTTTCCAAACAAGACCTAATAAGATTTAACAAAAGACTAAACAAAGAGTTGCAGGTCCAAAAATCATGCTTAAGGTATTTAACAAGGAACAACAACAACAGTAATAATATAATATTTAACGTCAGATGGTATTGGTGTAATTCCATTTGAGTAAGTGGGTATATAGTTGTCAAGAAGAAGGGTAATGAAAAGGGCACTATTGTAACTTTTGATTAAAGAAAAACAAATTGTTTACATAATTGTTGACTAGGTTGAGTGTGTATGTTAACGAAACAAAAGAGGAGTGTGCATGTTAACGAAGCCTCGGATAGGTCGGTATAATTTACCCTAAACTATATCCAGTCAATTGATTGGCTAGCCAAAACGGCTAGAAATAGGATCTATCCCCAAATTTTGTTTTTCTTTTTTTCTTTTTCTTTTTTTTGTTTTGTAAAAAAAGGAATTCATGTCAAAACTCTTACAATTATCAAACAATATGGTCAATTCAGTAATTCTAATGGTTGAGGCCTGATGGGGTTGATTTCAACCAAGTGTAGTAACTTGCAAAATTTTCACAATTCAAGGGGATTTTCCGTTATAAACACTTTTTATCTTCTTCTAGTTCATATACTACGTATTTAGTTTTAGGTTCATTCTATCACAAGCACATGCTACAACCCAAAGCATACCAACCAAAGCACTTGGAACCAAAAGCAGATATGTTGCTTCAAAAATTAGTGCAAAATGTACTTATAAAAAATATATATATATATTAGTGCAAAATGACAGCTCCAGTAATGTCTTGCCACACTGAAACACATAATAAACACCATGTGTTGGTAATGAATAAACACGAGACAGATCCACATATTCATTTCAATTTTGTAACTATGTTTTTTAATCACAATCACAACCCAATTTGTCCAAATTGCAAAAACATAAAGAACCTCCTAAATATCAGATTTTTGTTCAGTTCACCATTAAGGTCAGAATTATTCTAACAACCCAGGTCACTGTCATTTCATTTATATACCTTTATAAAGTCCCCTTTATCCCCAACGGCCCTAACCCTCTCCCATGTACGGCCAATAGCGACTAATTTCTTCCTCGTAGCTTAGGTTAAAAAGACCAGAACAAATAAAACAATAAACAAAACTACCAAGAACAATATCATCATAATCTGGCCCTTGGCACCTGCCTTCTTCATGACCAGAGCCACCTTTTTCTGCAGTGAAATTCATTGCAAAAAATTAATATTTTAGATCACCTTACGGATAAAACCATAATTTAGATTAACAACATATAAATTAAGCTGAATAATATCTAGCCACCTCAAAAAGAGCACAAGTCTGGAAATTTTAATTTTTTAAAAAATAATATAAAAAAAAATGACGGAAAAACAAGTTTTCCAATTCAGAGCAACAGAAAAGAATTACCTGAACAAAATCTAGACGATTTGATGTACTGTCCATCTCTGTACCCAAATCATCTATAATCCTCTCCTGCAACAATATGGTATACATTTTAGTGTTGATAATAAATAGAAATGATCCTAAAAATAAGTGTGCAAGGGTAAAATTGGCATATGTAAGTTGGATTTGCTGAAAGCATCGCAAGGAACTAAAGCTTAATAACACTTGCCTGTGCAAGGAGTTCTTCATGTATGGTAAGCCCAACACCTCCAATTCTCTCCACACTTGCACTAAGCTCATCCAGCTCTTCATCCTGTTGCCTACAAGCAAAATTGAAAGGCATCTACAATGAGAATGTTGGGCAAAAAAAAGATTTTGAAAACAAGAAAAAACCACTCTATGGTTTGTTAAATAACACTTCACTGGCCTGCATGTTTTGCGAAATTTCAACAATTGAACTTTAATAGTTAAAAAATAATGTATCACATATACTAATTAAGCATCGAAATTAGAGTAATAAAAATTACCTCGGTAGTAGCAAGAATAATGATAATAAAATTAATAAATAAGGTAACTTCAACAACCCCACCCCAACCCCGGGTGACACCCCCATCCATTCCCAAGAACCTGTCAACTGACACAACAGATCTCTCTCTCTCTCTCTCTCTCTCTCTCTCTCTGTGACGACAAGAGAAGTTAGCGTCACTTCCAGAAAACACATCGAAGCATGTAATTTGCTTAAAAAATAAAAAACTAAGAAAAGCAGATTGTATCTTTTAGAAATTTATTTTCATCCGACTGCGAAGAAGGTAACCAGAAATGAACTCCAAAGCTGGGCAAAAACAGGGGGAGAGGAATTTACTTTATGAGAAGCATCTGTCTGTCTGATTCTGATGATATGAAATCATCATTCGCTACAGCAACGTAGTGGCTGGATCGGTCCGGGTGAGTATTTGGCAGCCGCATTAATTCTCGGCGCATCCCGTTCACATTAGAAGTTCCTTTCAACTCCTTTCCAGCTACTACCACTTTCTTGACATTACCCACCTAGCAACACAGTAATCTCTTAGGGTCAATTAAGCAAAGGCTCACCTGTCAATGTGCAGTGCAAGTATAAAATGGTACTTACAAAAGATACTTTTCCAAATGATAATACTCAATCAACAAGACAGTTTTTCATAATCTATCTACTATATAAATGTTAGAAGAATTTTTCTTTTTATATCCATTTTTAGTGAATAATTAATCATGTATTTATATTCTTTCAATATCCATTAGACAATTATCTGCATTTTCATAAACCACTCTAGAAGTTTACAACAACCAAAACTAATTTGTGATAAACTTTTGTGTCCAACACATTCCTATTCTATTTGGAAATCTAATATGTACTAATTAGTTTATATACATATATTTTTAATAATTGAGTAATTATAGGTTTATGTGTGTGTGTGTGTGTGTGTGTGTGTGTGTATTAATGAATAATTAATCACCTATGAAGCATGGATATAGAAATGGGAACAACACGATATGGAATCTGTAATACGGCAAATATAAAAAAAGTAGGACAGACACGGCAGGGAAACAACAATAAAATAATACAATAATATATTATTATATATGTACAAAAAAAATTGATTTTTGTTCATTTTATCCATAATACCATGAATTTGATCACTAATTTGGGACTCGGGTTGGATGAGTGTTGCTTTTGATTTTTAAAATTTTATATTAGTTTTCTACTAACCCATCATATGTTTTAAAATTGCATTGGATCTTTTCATTTAATAAAAACTGAAAAACTACCATGTCGTGTCCTAAAAGTGTCCCAAACATGTCCCAGTTGTATCCCCACTGCATCCAACCGAAAAATGAAATTTTGAACTCTAGGATACTCCATAGCCTTGTCAGACATCCATCCAGCTGTGTCCCAAGTGTGCCCGTCTAGGATACCCTCTTCACATTACCATGGCACCCATAGAGGAGTGTCCATGCTTTCTAGTTAACCACATATTTACTTTCTTCTTGAATCTATTGATCTAGTGTATGTATCTACATCCTAATTCAATTATGCATTTTTTAATAGTTAATTAGTCAGCGTGTCCATCTACATTCTTATTTTTTATGCAAATTTTTGAATGAATAACTAATCACATATTTTTCATAGACGTTGCACTTTACTAAGTGTGTTCATCCACATTCTTATTTTTTAAACCATTTTGATAATAAGTAATTACATATTTTAATTTATATGAATTCTCTTCTCTAAATTTCACACACACACACACATAGATGTCTTATGGACTTGTGGATGTTTATATGTTGTTGATTTTGATATAATATTTGATGTATGATACAACAACTTTAATTTTCCTTTTCTATTTTCGACTTTGAATAATTTAAAACCTTTTCTATTCTTGTGTATAAAATATGCATAGCACATGCACTTTTACTAGTAACATTAAAAAAGCAGCCATAACATATTGATTGTTGCTAAAAATTCTATATAGAATAAGTACCTGAGCGCGAGCAGTGCTGGTCCATCTCCTTCGTTTATCAAGCTCCACATCATTGATGCCATACAAAGCAGGATCTCTAGCTGCTACTGCAATAGTTTTGTCTAATTCATCCACCTTCCTATCAGAAAACACGGTTTTCAGCATTGACAAAAAGAGGCAGAATTGCTTGATATAAAGCAAAAGATCATGAAGAGGTTTGTGCCAACTGATTTGGTATAGACAATGATCTCAAGAAGTTGAGCATGGGAAATGGGAAGTTAGAGGAGAGCCCAAAATCACTTCACATGACTATGCAACTGAAACCATCCCCTTGCTGATTCTTAAAAATCTCGCCTCAAAGTGGAAGCAAGTGATTTTTTTTTTTCCCCTTATAAAACAACAAATATGGTGAGAACTGTCAAATTTTTTGACTCATACCTGCCACTCAATGCTCTCGCTACCAGCAAGGAGCTCCTTTGTGAGATGTAGTTTCTCTACATTGTCCGAAGGGATGTGTTCCCATCGGTGAAAAGTAGATTGCAACTTGTCAATCTAAAGCAGCAGGAAATCAAATAGTTAAGTAGATATGACAAACAAAAGAATTTTAAAACCATGAAGCTACCAAAAATAATTTTAACAAATTTTAAAAACTCAGAGATAGAACATATGGGTGAGGCATAGGGTGTGAATGTAGGATTGTTTTTTCAGGCAGGCAGTTTGTTGTATGTTTTCAAAGAGACACTTTTTACAATAATAGCAGGGGGGGAATTGTTCTATTCCATTTCACTATCTTCCAATATATAGTTCAAAAGTGTAATTTTCAGAGAGAACTTGATTACCAAATATTGTAGCCTAGTGGTACTTTCTCGCTTTTATTTTTCCTAGTTGATAACTTGATACCCAACTCTCCCCCCCAACACCCCCCCCCGCGGCCGGCAGAGAATTGTTTGCAAGAGGAGTCGAACCTTAGGCCTAATGATTCCTATGATTCCTGAGGCTCCAGGGCCAAGTTCTTACCAACTTGAGCCAACCCCTTGGGGTTGTACTTCCTCGCCTTTACTTTGGAAGGTCAAGGGTTCAAATCCCCATAGGCTCTAAGTGGGTGTGTGAGTTTCAAATAGGGAAAAAAAAAAAAAAAAAAAAACTAGAGAGAACTCGCTTCACTTTTTAAATCAATTGCAAAAAACACCATCTGGCACTAGAAAAATCGACAAATTCACGGCTGCCGCTTATTTGGCACAGGTACCCATTAGAGGTTTCTTTTTTGTTTTTTTTTTGATAAGTCAGAAACCCATTAGAAGTTTACAAATTTGTTTTTCTTTTAATAAGACAATATAAGGGAAGACGATGAAAAGCTAAAAAAAATTTGTTATAAACTTTGGATTTTGTTTAGTGATTATTCAATACAATTGGAGCTAGTCTAGTCAACACTGTCAGCATATGGTAAATGATATACTTGATGCTGGATTTTCCAGAATTCTCCCAATTTAACAAATTATATAGTCAGATCATATCTGCGGCACAAACAAAGTGTCTTCTAGTCCATCCGATATGGTTTTACGATCATTCGAAAAAACCTTCTTCAGTCTGCCTTTTCCAGGCAACCTCCAAAAAAGATTTTATTTAATTATTTTATTATTATTTGACAAGTCAAAGAAATCATTAAGAGCAATGAGCACCAAAAGTGGTGCAACTCATACATGAAGGATACAAAAGCTAACAAAAACTAATTCATCACCTAAAAGATCTATAACAAATCTAAGGGATAAAATGAATTCCCTGGCCCAAGAAAACAGAGTGCTAAGCGTGAGCCTCTTCTGTTGATGTGCACAATCAACTACATCATCAAAAAATTTGGTCCTTCCAAATGCACCAAAAAAGACTATAAGCAGCCTTCCACACTTTCCTACCACTGTCACTCAAGCATATCTTCTTTTTTTAAATAAAATAAAATAAATAAATAAATAATAATAATATATTAATCAAAAAATGAAAAGAACTAATCCTTCAAGCCCAAGGAGGTTGTGAGAACAAAATAACAACAGAGTAAAGTACCCATTCCCATAACCCCACTCCCCTAACCAAAAAGGCAGCACAAAGGGTCTTAAAAAGATCCTAATAGGAAATATGGGACTATAGTAGAGGCTCCCTACTTAGCCAAGAAATCAACAATAATCTAAACTCCGCCTCTAAAGCACTAAATATACCCAGAATCTCTTTCATAAAGTGACCATAACGCCAAGAACCCAAGCAGTAAGACTTCATCCAGACTATTACAACCTTAGGCCGCCACTTAACAGTGTCAGATACCAATAGCAGAGACTTCACCGACGTCTTAAAGAGCTAAATTTCGGCCTTAATAGCAAATTGAGGAGCCTACTGGCTCCAAGAAAATGGCTAATATAGCATCTCCAAATATACCTTCAACACCAACTTGAGCTAGGTTGCCAAGAGAAAACGCATCACAATAAATTTCAATTCTCCTTATAGGTAGAGGTTTCCACAAATCTGAAACAACATTGCTCTAAGAATAAATAGACAAAGCCCTCTAGTCAGTCATAATAACACTCAACATAACCTAGATTATGACCACCATAGCAAAATCCCAAAGAATGTTGGCTTTCTCACCATATCCGAAATCTCAAAAGAGGTTAAGAAGGGAATTATACACTAAAATCTACTCAGGTATTATTCGATGAAGCAAGTAGTTGATAAGGGATAGGATAATGAATAAAAAGGCAGTTGCACATATGACATGACATTATTTTTCTTTTCCTTTTCTTCTTTTTAATTTTATTTTTATTTTTATTATAGATCCTACTGCACATAACACCCAAATCTGGACTTAAGGAATTGTAGGGCCTCTATCCTAGAACAACTCATTAGTATTCACCCATTGGGCTACTAACCAAACAAAAAACTTTTCTATATATATATATATATATATATATATATATTGCGTTGGTAAGTTCCTTAACTTTCAAAAGCATTTTAAATGAAGGAGACAGAAATAGATTGATTCAGGAGAAAGCTAAAAGTTTATTTAAAGGACAAGTAGCCATTACATTCTAGGTGCCAGAATGAAGGAATCTCTAAAATTTACAATTAACTGTCAGCCTATTCAATAAAAACTCATACACATTTGACAATATAAAAATAACACCATTCAAATGAACCACCAATTCTTTAACGTCACTGTTGACGAGTCCCCGATCTAAATGTAGTCAGTTCATGTAGCAGTCATTAGACCTTGATATTAGGGGGGAAATAACTACCACAAATCAGCCTTACAAATGGATGTAGGCACTTGACAAAAGGGAACAATGTTTAAATTGAAAATTGATGGATTTCTTAGAATGATATCAATCAATTAATAATACCACAAAAAAGAAAAATATTATAATGAAGCACATTGTTGACAGCAAAATATCAAACAAAATCAATCCACAAATGACAGCTTCTTCATTTCGACAGTCATCACAATTACAGATTGGAAAACAAACTTACAGAGTCTTGAATCTCCTCCTTTACAATGTAAAATGGATCTTGTGCTGAAGACATTTTGTATTTAGTTACATAACATTACCTATACATTCAAAAAGGTTAACTTCCATTAGCAAGAAGACATCAGATATAGACACGCAGGCTGAATTAACAAAGTTTAAGGCACTCACGAGATGGGAAGAGTTATAAGGTATTGGAAAGCTAAGAAGATTTCGCTGCTAAGGGGTAAATTACAAGTCTGCGTCTCAATTATGAAAAGGAAAACACATACTATGCCACTACTGAAACTCGGGAATTCCTTGGTAAGTTTCCATGAGGATTTCGAACTCTCTTTTTTTTTTTTCTGACAAGTGACACAATCTGAACCCCACGGTGTATGCCTGACGCGATAACAACTATTTGGACTAGCAGTGTTGTAGCAATAGTGTTCACAGAAATCTGAAGCAGCAGTAGTCATGCTGCACTAACTATTAAGAAGTTCATGTCCTTACTTCTTCTTTATTACATTTGAGTCATGAAAAAAAGAAAAAGAAAAAAAATCTCAATTATTCTAGTTCATCTAGTGAGTACTTGATTCAACGTGTTAAATGCATGCCAAAAAATATCAACAATTCATTTCAACGAAACAAAAGGGCGGAGTTCAAGCAAGCTAAGGGCTCAAATTTCATTCAAGGTTACCTTCTGCTATCGACATTATATATCATATAGCTGAAAGTAACAAATTACTATCTGCTAACAAATAAAAAAAAATCAAATCACTTTCAAATTCAACTACAGAACAAAAATGGAAGCAAATCTTGTGTTTCAGAGAGAGATTAAGAGAGTAATCAACAACTTATATCGGCTAAAGAAACTAAACAGGAAAATTACAGATCTATGTGGAATTAGTACAAGTACGCAAATGAGAAATCAACTCAACAAGTCAATTACATGAAGATTGAAAAATCAAATCATTCTAAACAGAACAATAATACAACCAAAATTAAGAACACACGCTTAAGGAAAAGCAGCAGAAAACCTACCGTTGAAGGTGGTGGAAAAATCAACGCAAAGGTACCAATCGAAGAAGGACCAACTTTCGCGGGTTGTGCAAATTAGAGAGAGAGAGACGAGGGTTTGGTTGCTGGCGAGAAGGGGAGTGCGGGAGAAGACGAGATGGAACCGGATCTTTCCAGCGCATCAAACAGATACATGCAACGCCTTACATCAACACAACACGGATAAAAACCCCGACCCGACTCACCGACTGAATGAAATGATGAATCAACACTAGTATGGTGGGGCAAATTAAGATACGAACCAACACCACGACTAGAATACAATACGGGGTTTGGATTGATCTGAGTTTAGATCATAAACGAGTTAATATTATTAATTTATTTATTTAATCGTTTCGGATTAAGGTTGAAAAGTTTAACCTGTGTAATTCATTTATACCCGTTTAACTCAATATGTCATATTTGTGAATACGAGCTATGTATTATGTTACCTATTTAAACCTAATTATTATAGACAGTTAAGTCATTTGAACATTAATCTTAACCACCCTTATGATTTTTCTTCTTATTTTGAATATTTGAGTTAATTGTGACAAAATTTTTCTAGTATTTATTATTTGTTTGAATATTAAATTTTTTGTATTTGGATTTACCTATTTAGTATAATACCCTTAGACACGATTATGACCCAGAAACACGAATTGTAACTCCTACTAATTTAGACTTGGATCGAATTTCAATTCTAATCCGATTGGATAACATGGAAATAAATTAAAATTTTTAATTTGATAACTCCGATAATATAATTCTATAATCTAAACACGAATAACAATTTGATCCTATATAATATATAACAAGCAATAAATATATTACTTAATGTTATAATATATAATATTTCCAATTTATTAAATTATTTTTTCAATTTTTTATTCTTCTTCTTCCCTCTTTCTATTTTGTTTATCTTTATTGTTTTTTCTTTTATAAAAACTCCAATACCTAATTTTATGCTCTTTTTGGTTTATATTTTGATTTTTGTCTCTCAGTTCTCTCTCTCTCTTTTCCTAATCCTTTTTTGCTAATCTCATTAGAAATTAATTTTCTTTTAATAAAAAAAAAAAATTATGTATTTATATAATCGGATTACCGGACCGAATATTTGATTAATAACAAATCAAATATGGATACAATTCTATATTATTTGTTGGGTCATTAGAATATATATACTACGTAACTCTTACAGGATCGAATAACCCTGAACCAGTCCAAATTTGATCTGTTTATAGGCATAATTGCATGTAAACCAATTCATGAACAAACACCACCACCACTACCTACCACCCACAACCACCCACCACCTTCTGTTTTTTTTTTTCGCCTCCCTTTCTCCTCTGTCATAAACAACAATCACCACCAACCTTCCACCATTGAGAAGGATTTTTTTTTTTTTTTTTGGCCTTTCCATCTCCTCTCTCTAGCCACCATTGGTCACCAACCACGCGGCGCTATTATATATATAGATATAAAAGCATACTTCAAATAAGGGTAATATAGAAATTTTAATTTATTCAATATATGACATCAGCAAATTTCGTCATTAGCGTTGATCGCGACAGAAGCATGGTCCGTCTAATATAGTTTCATTTTTAGGGGAGGTAGAATAATTTCACAAATCATAAGGGAGGTCTCTAAAAATTATGGCAAAACATAATAGAGATCAGTGTAATTTACTCAATTTTAAATGAGAATGAACTTTTTATTGCTAAGTAAACTCTAATGTTCTCAAAAAATTCACCACAACCGTGTTTGACCATCGGCACCTCCATTACTTTCATTACTATTACCACCACTAACACCATCACATCGCCGCCATCACCATGCCACCAACGTCAGCACCATCGCCACCGCCATTATCTTACACCATCGCCATCAGTACCACCACTGCCTCCACCTTCCACTACACCGTTGCCGTTGTCACCACCACCGCCACATCCACTGCCTTCCACCACCACCAACTTCTACCACCGCCTCTACTTTCCACCATCACCTCCTATGTTTTATTGCAACCAAACAATAGAATGAGAATAAAATGAAAATTCAATTTGAATTTTATTTCACTTCATTCAAGTTTTAAATTAATCTAACCAAATGCTATGAATGATTATTATCATTCTATTCTAACATAATTTCATATTTTCAACCAAACAATAAAACAATAATAATTATTTCATTCCCATTTTCATTCCATTCCCACTTGCATTTCATTCAATTTCTGAACATCAAACATTTCACTTTACCTATTGATTTATTTATTTTATAAAAAATAATTTTTATGTGACTTTGTGAGTTAAAAATTAAGATAAGAAGTAATGAGCAACTGATAATTAGCTGTGTAGGAATAACAACTACTAATTACAGGTAATATGTAATTTATGTACCATATTCAGGTAATTCAACCTATTCCAACTCTTTACCTATATTAGCTTATTTAGATTTCCATTTTAATGATTCATGTAATCCATAAATTATCTAATCATATCAGACAAGTTAAAGGGCTAGAGAACATAAGCAACAAGTTAGCAACTATTAATGAGCAAACTGCAAATAATAATGTGCATCAGGCCAATAAAAATTTAAAATATATATATTGGCTATATGCATAAAATTGGAGTATTGAAATTGATAAAATTAGAGAAAAATAATAATTCAATTTTCATCAATTCCAATTTCGTACTGTCAAATATAGTATAGTATTTAAAAATATACCACTCATGTGCGATTTGTGGTCCATCCAATGTTAACTCTAATTACACTGACCTTCCCTGATAACTCCTTAATAAAAATACACATGGTATCCCTAATTACAGTGACCTTATTTTGTTTGTGCATTTTGATTCTCCTAAAGATACTTTAATTTATAGTTTCCTTCAATTTTCAAATTTAATTTTTGGTTGGCAAGAAAGATTATATTATTAATAAATCAACTTATACAAACTGGGCTCAGGCCGCTCAGCAACTTGGCTGTAAGCAACAAGGCAAGTTTTTAATTGCTTACTAAAGAATGGGACCAAATTAATAGCATGAAAATAAATTTAAAAGTTCTTAAAATTACAATATATTTCTTCACAATATTATATTATTTATAAATGGAAAGAATTCCATAAATTAATAAAAACATAAAAGGAAAATGCTTTTAAAAAGAGGAGTTGTAAAGAATTATTTGACTGTATGTTTTTCTAATGCATTTCTATAATAATTTTTATTTTGTTGTCAACCCTTCTTTAGCAAACTACATGCATCCACACATCATGGTGTTGATATGGGCATGTGCATCATGAATTAGAATAATTTAAAATAGCAGAAAATTGACAAATTCAACACATGATGAGCGAACACAACTTATGACATACTCGTAAATCGTAACGTAAGTTTCCAGAGGGGCCTTTCTTATCCATAACTAATTTTTGTTGTAGACAAATTGCTAATTATGGTGTGTTTTTTTTTTTTCACTCTTAATCATGGATCTTTGTTTATGTTTCTTCTTCTCATTCCATTGTTTATCATTTTTATTCTTCGCTCAGAAATATTGCAGTTTCTGACTATATCAACTGAGTGTAGCATATTGTATTTCAAGGGTTTGTAATGTTTTGATTTAATTTGTTGTCATTTTGTGAGGAATGCCGACTTTTGGGTTAAAATTCAATTAAAATTTGAAAATAGAACCTAAAATAATGGCGATTTATTTGAATGCTGGATTTAATGTTTTAAAAAAATTTTTAAAAACGTATATTAAGGGTCTGTATTGTCATGTTACGTAAATTGTTGAGTTCTTTTAGCAACGCTCTTTGGAGGATCCCGCCCCCTTAGAGAAGCAATAGAGGGCAATGGCCAATTGTAACAAGGGTCATTTTGTCCCACATCGGAATCGGATGGGAAAGAGATTAGGTATAAATGGGTGGGTATGCAGCCTTACCTAACAGTTTGAGCTTTTGGGTAAATGGGCAAGCGTCGACCCGTTACCCAACCGCAACGAGGGCGTTGCGAGTTTGGGTGGGGGAGAATGTAACAAGGGTCATTTTGTCCCACATCGGAATCGGATGGGTGGGTATGCAGCCTTACCTAACAGTTCGAGTCCATAGGAGTTTTGTCTTGCATTTTAGTCATTGATTCTCAAAAGATCTATATAAGGAAAGTGGAAAAGGTTAAAAGGTGAATTGCTTACAGGGGTAAAGAGTAAAAGATTAAAGATGACATTTGAAGGTAATAAACTAATTTTTATTAAAAAAAATTTAAGCAATATATATGAATAAACTCAAATCAGTGGTAATAAGAATAACGAACTCATAGATACAGTAATTCATTCTCAAATTTTGTTTTATTCTACGCTATAAATCATACCCATTTGCTTTCATTGATGCCCTACACAAAAGGGATGTCAATTTATCACAATCCAGGCCTGTTCATATCAATTACCAAAAATCTAGGACACGCACCAGTGAAAGAGATGCATAAAATATACAATCCATTTAACTTTCAAAATAAAATTTCTTTTGCCTAAACAAAATAAAATGTATTCCAGTTACAAATTCCTCAAAATTTATATAACAAAATAGGCATAAACGGCTGAAACGTCGTCACTTCGATTGAATTGATCAATCTCATAAGATGATGACTATTGACAGCATGAGTATGCACGGAGTTGGGAAATCGCCCCTCCTCCACCCCTGCCCCTTGTGAATTTTACAGCACTGATAATCTTATTTATTTGGACAATTTCTGCTTTTGCTTGGTGCGGTCAGGGTTTGACAGGCCTGCTGGTAGGCAGCATTACCCCAGTGATCCACTTCCCAAGCTTCATGCGACTGTAAGCCTGTTTCGTATCCTAGTGATCCACTTCCCAAGCTTGTAAGCCAGTTTCGATACCAACAGGCCTGTCAAACCCTGACCGCACCGAGCAAAAGGAGAAATTGCCCAAATAAAGAAGATTATCAGTGCTGTAAAATTGACAAGGGACAGGGTGATAACTGAGGTGGAGGAGGGGCGATTTCCCAACTCCGTGCATACTCATGCTGTCAATAGAATAACTGCACGGGAAGCCAACAAGGTCGTCTTGGTTCGCTTCATTCGCACAATAGGAAAACCATTGACCTATTTCATAAGCAAACACACAAGGTTATAGGATGAAGTAGGTGTGTGAGTCCATCCTGAAAGTCC